TGCTTACCGCTGTATGGCGGTTCAGCTCGATTGGTTAATTGCGATAACAGTATCCCTAAAGTTGGCTGCAAGGTAATGACTGAATGCGAGATATATTCATCTAGCAGCTAATCGATGGTACTTTTCATTAGCTTTCACGAAGCGTGTTTTCTTCTACAACCATATATTGTTACTCTTCATCTCCGGTTGTTTGTGGCGCTAACATTTTCACCCTTTTACAGCATGGAATGGATTCACTGAAACCCCTGCCGTATACACATGTTGATGTTGCTGGCAGCGCTGCGGAAATCCATGTATTACCCACCGCCGCACCTCTGATGATGTTTGCGAGCCGTTACATCTTACCCCGTGTTGGATTTCTGTAACATACAGGAAGTGTTACAATTCGGCTGATTGTGAATCGTTATGTATGCTCATCCTCGGTGTTTTTATCCCGTGGATCTGACCTTTCATGATCATCGTCTGTCAATTATGGTATTTGATCTCCATCGCATTTTTAATATCATCCGGTTGGGGAGTGATTGTGAGGTAAACCCACTGAATACCTTACGAACCCCCCAGTAACGTATCTTGACCTTTCCTTTCATTGGTAGACCAACACCAAATAGTCGTTCAGTCAAGGACAATAATGCGCTTGAAGTGCTATCCGTAAGCACTCAGAAATTGGGTGTTGGAATCACTCGTGGCAATCCAAAGTAGATCAGTTGGCTACTGAGTGAGAGGTCCTAATTCGACCCTAATTTTTCGACAGTTGTTGCCCTGGCTCGGACAAGCTGACGACATTTTGCATCTTGTTTGTAACTTGACGGCTGTGCACCGAAAAGGTTCCATAGCTGAACGACTTAAAAGGCAGATTATGAACAGCGATAGCGATTCCGAAAGCTGCTCCCACCACATAGGTCTACTGCAGTGCGTGAGCCGTTGAACCTTTTTGGAAAATCAACGTGAAACGTTGATTTTGCTACTTCATCCGTGGTTATTTCATCCCGACAAGCTGTAGATTTGCGCGATCCCAGTAAAATACACTGGGATGTCATGATGGATCATAGCACAAACAAACCATAGTGAACGAGAGATCCCTACTGGCCAATCCACCGAGCTTTGGCTTGCCGTATAGTGTCTGCAAAAACTTCTGCCGGTCCACAGGTCCTGCAAAGTAAGTCTTCTGCATAAGCCCACTAAAGATGGAAAATCAACCTCCGGAGATAGACTAGGATTTATAACAAACAGGGACGGGAGAATATACACAAGATGGAGAGTAAGATGGGTAACTCATGCGGTAGTGTTTGTCTGTCTTACGAGACATTGTTTAATGGTGGTAGCCAGCTGAACCCCACCGTTCATTGCACAACTCAGCGCTTCACGCAGGTCCTGACCTGTGCGAATGCAACTGTCACTAGTATAGAGCATGGAGTATTGTTGAAGATTGGGTAGGATAGCTGCACACAGATGTCCAACACTGCTACTAGGTCGTACGACGGTTGAAAGGTCCACATTGACTCCGACGGGTGTGTCATACATTTGAACGCTCGCATCCGTTAAGGCCAGTCCTGAACATGTTATTGCTGCGGCCAAGCAGTCACCAGTATTGATAGAATCGACTGGGAAGCCGCCATTGTCCAGGATCAGAACCATCACTTCGTACTTTCCGCGTGGGAAACAGTGCTAAGGTGTACGAAAACAGGGAGAGTTTGCGAACAAGAAGAGGGTAAATGTGGTCTAAATAGAGTAAGAGACTTCACTGAATTAACGAACTTGCGGTGAAAAATCTAACCACTGAAATTCTACATGTAGCATGGTGGAACGCCGTACTTACAAGCATCACAGAGGCCTCGATTGAACTCAGAAGGAGCTGACTGAGGCGCCTTTCAACACCGGTTTGTTGATCAGGTTGCTGCCAGGTTATAAATGGTGCGAACTTCAAGGCAGTGATCAACTGACCATCTTGTCGCATCTAGGGGGAGTAAAAAAAAAGGCCAGTCCTGAACATGTTATTGCTGCGGCCAAGCAGTCACCAGTATTGATAGAATCGACTGGGAAGCCGCCATTGTCCAGGATCAGAACCATCACTTCGTACTTTCCGCGTGGGAAACAGTGCTAAGGTGTACGAAAACAGGGAGAGTTTGCGAACAAGAAGAGGGTAAATGTGGTCTAAATAGAGTAAGAGACTTCACTGAATTAACGAACTTGCGGTGAAAAATCTAACCACTGAAATTCTACATGTAGCATGGTGGAACGCCGTACTTACAAGCATCACAGAGGCCTCGATTGAACTCAGAAGGAGCTGACTGAGGCGCCTTTCAACACCGGTTTGTTGATCAGGTTGCTGCCAGGTTATAAATGGTGCGAACTTCAAGGCAGTGATCAACTGACCATCTTGTCGCATCTAGGGGGTAAGAAGAAAAAAAAGGCGTCAACGAGAGATACCTACTTCTAGTGGACCATTGACTGAGCAACATGCCTTGATTGAACCATACTCAAGATATGAGGAACCGTCAGCAGAAGGATTCAGTCCAAGTGAGAAAACTGGCCGAATGGAGGAGAACTAATGGAGAGATAGACAACTTACATATTGCAGGTGGGAAGTCCGACTCCCTGGAAATCTGGAAAATCACAAGAATCTTCTGAAACCCGAAGACATACCTTTTTCTCAGTAAACACCTCTAGGTCTACCGCTTCAGAGGGTAGCTTGAAGCACTCGATAGGCATAATCAGGGTTTCAGGCTGTTAAAGATTTTTCTAAAAGACTGGAAATAGTCTGATGAAAGCAAACGAAACGATGGAATCAATCATCTATTGCTTAAAGAACCAGTAGGCACAATGACCTCGAAAGATTCCGAATTCCCCAATAGAGTGGAAAGTAAAAAAATAGACCATCTAGCTTCTGTACTTTCCCGGTCTATAGCTGCTGTGTAACCTAAAATACGCAAGACGTCAGACTGCCCGAGCCCAGCAAAGGGTAAACGAAGCGTTAGGTATGAATTCGTATCCAAATCTAAGCTAGACAGGTCAACAACTCAGGCTTCTGATGTGCTAAGACATACGCTGAGACACTGAGTAACTAAGGTTCTACCTCGAATATGTATTGGGTAGGAAAGTCGACGTCCCGAATAGGTGTCCTGCTGCCGCAGTCTGTAGATACGTGGGCGAGCATCATGAGCAGGTTGTTATTTCAGGTGTTGTGAGTTTTGGGGGGAGTCGACGATGGAATGAGGCGAAAAGGGGCACCCACCTAAGCAAACAACCACCGGTACAGGAACCGAAACAAGCATTGGATCTCTGAGAGGACCGTGTCCTTGCTGGAGATCCGGCGACAGATTCTACCTGGTCGCCATCAAAACTCCACCCGGCGCATCATCCGACGCCAGGTGAAACTGAGTGTCCGCGCAGACCGAGAAGCTTGGTGGACCCGAAAGGTCGAAGAAATGGAAGATT